CGGACTGCTAGATGGGTAGAAGCTGGGACAGAGCAACAGAAGTTCACATCATCGCGCTGAATTGAACAGCCAACCTTCAGATCAGCAAGCCCAAGAGGCTTAGTGGTTTAGACCACAGTGCCACCCATGTCCCTACACATGTATACATACATTCATACATGTATTCATACATGGGGCACACAGTCCACTTCCACCAGTGTCTGTGTGCATGTGCAGGGGAGGGGGCCAGCAAGAAAAGGGAAATTAATGACAGGAAGGCACTTACACACATGCTGAGCTGTGCATGCAACAGAGATGGAGCCAAAGAGGAACCCTCATGTTAGAAACATAAACAGATCTCTTCTTTATTTGAGAAGTAAAGAGGCACAAAGTGCTACTATGAATGTAGCAATTAAAGCTGCAAATTGCAATGTTATACATGGGTAAATCACTGTAGGCTATAATCTGCAAGCCCCCGCCCCTAGAATCATTAAATTTTGGTTTTAGTGATAGGAATTAAAGACTCTAACTTGAGGATGTAATACGATTAAAATCCTTGTGGCTTTGACATGAAAGATAAAATGCCTTTTACATGGAAAATATCAAATAGTAAGACAGCATTTGATTCATAGTGAGTCTTTGTGTGTGTGTTTCTGTTACAGATAGCTCACCACAGAAATAAAATAAAATAAATAAAATAAAATAAAATAAAAAAGCAGACTTTTTATGAGACTACATTTATCTTCTGTAGGTACATATAGTGGGAAGAGAGAGATAGGAGCTATGCTCAGAGCAGGATAAAAACAGATTACAGCCTTATTAAATCAAGAAGCTATGCTAGGGCAACATATCACAGATGTAATATTAAACTGCATGGACAGACAACATAGAATAGAATTGTAAAATTGCAAAGGACCACAAGGGTCATGTAGTCCAGCCCCTGCAATGCAGGGATCTTTTGCCCAATGTGGGGCTCAAACCCATGACCCTGAGATTAAGTGTCTTATGCTCTACCGACTGAGTTGTCCCTCCATATTTTATGGACTACAACTCGACCATGACATCCTTCTGGTCCGTCTTGAGGGGCTGGGAGCTGGGGGCACTGTTATACAGTGGTTCCGCTCCTTCCTCCTGGGCCGTGTCCAGAAAGTGGTGGGGGGGATGAGTGTTTGGACCCCTGGGCCCTCATTTGTGGGGTGCCTCACGGTTCTGTCCTCTCCCCCATGCTTTTTAACATCTACACAAAGCCGCTGGGAGAGATCGTCAGGGGTCTGGGCTGGGTGTTCATCAGTATGCGGCTGATACCCAGCTCTACCTCTCTTTCAAATCGGAACCAATGAGGGCAGTGAAGGTCGTGTGTGAGTGTCTGGAGGCAGTTGGAGGATGGATGGCAGCTAACAGATTAAGGTTGAATCCTGACAAGACAGAAGTACTGTTTTGGGGGGACAGAAGGCGGGCTGGTGTGGAGGACTCCCTGGTCCTGAATGGGATAACTGTGCCCCTGAAGGACCAGGTGCACAGCCTGGGAGTCAGTTTGGACTCACAGCTGTCCATGGAGGTGCAAGTCAATTCTGTGTCCAGGCAGCTGTCTACCAGTTCCATCTGGTACACAGGCTGAGACCCTACCTGCCCGTGGACTGCCTCACCAGAGTGGTGCATGCTCTAGTTATCTCCTGCTTGAACTACTGCAATGTGCTCTATGTCAGGCTACCTTTGAAGGTGATTCGGAAACTACAATTAATCCAGAATGTGGCAGCTAGACTGATGACTGAGAGTGGCCACCAAGACCATATAACATTGGTCCTGAAAGATCTATATTGGCTCCCAGGACATTTCCAAGCACAATTAAAGTGTTGCTGACCTTTAAAGCCCTAAATGGCCTTTGCCCAGTATACCTGAAGGAGTGTCTCTGCCCCCATCATTGTGCCCGGATACTGAGGTCCAGCGCTGAGGGCCTTCTTGCGGTTCCCTCACCGTGAGGTTACAGGGAACCAGGCAGAGGGCCTCCTCAGCAGTGGCACCTGCTCTGTGGAATGCCCTCCCATCAGATGTCAAGGAAATAAACAACTATCTGACTTTTAGAAGACATCTGAAAGCAGCCCTGTTTAGGGAAGTTTTTAATGTTTGATCTTTTATTGTGTTTTTAATATCCTGTTGGAAGCCACCCAGAGTGGCTGGGGAAACCCAGCCATATGGGCAGGGTATAAATAAATTATCATCATCATCATCATTATCCCATCATTCCTGACTTATTGGCCATGCCAATGTAAGTGATAGGAGTTGTAGACTAGCAATGAACACACATTGGGAGGGGCAAATGATATGCACTGCCCACAACCTGCGCACATTCATTTGAAGGCTTGTAAAGTTGTGAACAGTTGTACAACTGTAACATGTAACACATTCAAACAAACAACTGTAGGTTGGGGCAGGGCCTTACACCACGAGCCCCCAGCTGTGTTGAGCATACACAGACTGAAAGCCTAGAAAGTGCTAACGTAATGACGGAAGCCGCCATGATAAGTACCTCTAAATGTGATGGAAGGGGGAGGTGGTAAATTCTCCATATGGTGGCAGCGCTGTCACAAGTGTAGCAGGTAGTCCTGAAATTTCTCACTCCCTGGAAATGATAGACCAGGCATAGGCAAACTCCAGCCCTCTAGATGTTTGGGACTACAATTCCCATCATCCCTGACCACTGGTCCTTTTAGCTAAGGATGATGGGAATTGTAGTCCCAAACATCTGGAAGGCCAGGTTTTGCCTATGCCTGCAATAGACTTTACAGATCCAGTTAGAGATGAGACCTGAGACATTAAAATTTCTAGAGCAGGAATGGAGAACTTGTGACTCTTCAGAAGTTGATGGATTCCCATCATACCTGATCATTAGCCTGGATGGCAGGAGCTGCTAGGAGTTGGAGTCCAACAACATCTGGAGGTCCACAGTTTCCCCATCCCTGTCCTAGAAGTTCTATAGTGTTCCCCTCTCTGTGGTGGAGACTTGTAGGAGAACTCAACTGCTGAGGTTTAGCCACTGTTTCTTCTTTTGGGGCAGTGCTGAGCTGTCACTGACAGTATTCCCAGCTACTACATGTTACCTTCATTCAACAATATATAAATGTTTCTGCCCACATGAAAATGCCTTGTATCTGTCTGTCTACTGTTTTCCCCCTTCTTCCCTTTTCTCCTAAATTTGCCACATTTATTAAGGCTTTTATATATTTTTTTCCTCACACACTGTTTTAATTGAAATTGGAAAATGCAGCTCCTTTGAGGATGGGTCGAGCATTGTCTCCAGTTTTACGCAGTACTTTCCCAATTTTGTGCAAAGAAGGGTGGTGCATTCCAATTAAACTGCAAGGAAATTTAGGGAGGCAGGACGTAATTACCTTGGAAGTTGTCCAGGATGCAAGCATTAACTCTCATAAGGGGGATTTAAAATCTGTTAATTAGCTAGTATAGGGGAATGTGAATTTAATATAACTTGCTTAAGACATTTTTAATATGGATTTAAAATAGAGCTGGCAAGCGGCTGTATATCTAGAAATGTCTGGCTTAGCATGCTTGCAACAGAGCTAAGGTCTTGCAAGGAAATCTACTGGGCAATATGGCACTTATTTTATTTTATTAATTTGCACAGGAGCAAAGGGTCTTATCATGAACTGTGCTTTGACCTAACAGACTAGGTTTTGCAAAGGCAATTAACCAGCAAGATGGATTCTTACAATTTGATTAAGATGATGAGAAGGATTTACATCAGACCCTGAAATGACAAAAAGAGCACAGAATGTGTAATCTGTAGCAAAATAAAGGAAATAATAAGAGCATTTAAGAACTATGATTGCCCAGGTTTAGAAAGGAAGATCTGTGTGTCCTAGCAAATGTTCATACATGACTCTTGCTTGATTTCTGTGAAATTTTCAACAGAAACATTGTGCATTGCATGAGCTGGATGCTCTACTCCTGGAACCCTTCATGTTGTATTGATTGGGAATTGTGCATGAATTGTCATAATTGGACAAATAATCCATAGTTTAAAGACAGATGTTTTGAAAATGCTATATGCTAATCAACATGATTTATGAATAGGTGCTTATATATTTTGGGAATCCTTTGCAGCTTCGGTGATGACTACAGCTACAAGTGAAACCCATATTATATTTGCATATCAGCCCTTTTCAGTCATTCTTCTCCACAACTCCATATGTGATGACATGAGTGACAGGGTGCCTCTCCTCCATAACATCCATGGCAGTGGCTGTAGCAAATTCCATGTTGGAAGGGGAACTTTTGCAGCAGTGAACCTGCTGAGCTCATGTGGGTTCCCTTCACAATTCAGAACCCTGCTCTTCCAGGTTTGTAAACCATGTGGGTATTGAGGTTATTAATATTGCGCATATGGAAGCAAACTGGATACTTAAAAACTGACTCTTCTTCCAATAAAAATTGTCCAGTCCAAACATACAGTTCAAAAGCTCTACTGCAGAACTTTACTTCAAAACAACTTGAAACAAATAAAAGTTGCATTCTGATAGTTGCATAATATCACATGCTGATCCCAGCATAGGTAAAATATTTTACATTATGAAATATAGTGCATCCAGAGCTAGAAATCAAAAGCCTACTTCTCCACCAAACAGCCTCCATTAGCCTGAGGCTGTTTTCCTAGAGAGAGAATTAGTGCATCCTTTATCTCCTGTGGCTTCAGAACAAAGACTAACACACCCAAGATGGAGACCTACAAATTATATCATATGCACAGACTTGTAATAGAATACTTTTCATGTGACTCAGGCAGCGGAGATCCAGCCCTACTAATCATTAACTTCTTAGGCTCTCTGCACCTCTTGTTTAGCTTCAGTGGAAGTTTCCATGCCATGAACATTGTATACATACAGACATATTACAGAATTATTTTCCATTTCAATGTACAATTAAACAATTACACTTAGCAATGGGGGCCTACTTGAGAAGGGAAGCCTTCCCTTTGTTGATTTAAGCAGAGTCTCTGGTGCCCAGCGGAAGGATGAGCAATACGTGTTACATACTCTATATTGCTTTATTTACAGTTCAAAGCTGGTATATTACAGAAAGACATCTTGCCTCTGCAAGAGCAGAAAAATGCATCCTCTCTCCTCAACAGCTCGGAGAGAATCACACAGTGAAAAACAGGAAACCAGTGTACGTCACATCCAGTCTCCCTTTCCCGTGAGAAACTCCAACAGTACAGACTGTGGAATGTAAACACCTGTCTTGTGACTGCAGTTGCTGCACAGTGAAGGAAAGCAGAAACCAACATCCTCCCCTTTCTGTGAACATCACTGGGCAGCGTGTTTGTACAATATCAGTACAAACCCAACTTCTGCACATAGGTACAGTGTTGATCCCTTGATACAATCTTGGACAATACATCAGCAGGAATTTCATTACCTGGCATATAGGACACCGTTACGAGTCCCTTCTGAATACATTCCCTAGCATGCTGCAACTTTAATTGCAAGTGCTTTGTGCTTTGCTTACAACCTTCAGACTTCAGCAAAGCCAAACATGCTTTGTTGTCCTGGTAAACCTGGATTGGACATTTGACAGGAATTTTCATATCTTTGCACAATTGTACTAACCATTCACAATCCTTAAGTGAATAAGACAGTGCATTCAGTTCGGCTTCACAAGTACTTAAGCTAACTGTTGTTTGCTTCTTGCATGACCAATCAAACAGACTCTGATTGTACATGTAGCAAACTCCAGACGTACTTTTCCTGTCTGTAGCGTCACTTCCAAAACTTGCATCTGCAAATATCTCAAGACCACTAGACTTCTGATTGTTAAATCTCAGTCTGTAATGCATAGTGCCTTTCAAATACCGCGCTATGCGTTTCAGAGCTTTCCAATCCTTGACACTAGGATTGTTGACTTGTCTGCTTAGCAAATTACAGCTAACAGCAATGTCTGGTCTTGAACATCTGGCAATGAAGTTTAGCTTGCCTAGCACACTCCTGTACAGTGTAGTGTCAGAAAATGCTTCTTCAGTGTCATCTACCTGATAACCTGTTGTCATCGGTGTGTCTACAGGGTTAGCATCCATCAGATTTAGTTTGCTTAACACATCAGCAATTTTCCGTGACTGGTGTACTAGAATGTTACCATCTTGATCTCTCTCTATTTCCAGAGATAGGTAGTTGTTTACCTCACCAAGATCTTTCATGTCAAAGTGCTCTTTCAGTTGAGCTAGGGCGCTATTGTACATTGCAACATCTTTCCAAAAGAATAATAAATCATCAACATAAAACAAACAGTACAGTTTCTTTTGCCCCTCCTCTTTGACAAATACACATGGATCAGCTTTCCCTTGCTGAAAACCTAGAGAAAACAATACTTCAGTGAGTTTTGTGTGCCAACACCGTGCACTTTGTTTGAGACCATAAAGGGATTTCTTCAGAGCACAAACAAATCCCTGTTTTACCTGTACGCCATCAGGTGGAAGCATATAAAGTGATTCATCTAGAGATCCGTACAGAAAAGCTGTATTAATATCATGGTGACTAATGTGTAGATTTTCCTCTGCAGCTAGCTTAAGCATAAGCCTAATGCTTTCATATCTCACTGTGGGTGAATAGGTCTCGTGATAGTCTTCACCTGGTACCTGTGCAAAACCTCTGGCTACCAATCTGGCTTTGTGTCTGACTATCTTGCCATTTTGATCTGTCTTCGCTTTGAAGACCCATTTGCTTCCAAGCAGTTTCATTCCTGGAACTACTGGAACTAGCTCCCATGTTTTGTTCCTTTCTAAGGAATCAAGCTCAGCCTTCATGGCATTTAACCATGGCTCAGCTTCCTTTGAATCCAAACCCTGGATTTCTTGGAAACTTGAAGGTTCAAATACCTTCTTGGAGCTTTTAACAGCTGTTACTGCTATCTTAGCAAACTCATCAGCAAATCTCTTTGGAGGTTTGCCTTTTGTGGCTCTCTGTGACCTACGAATTAGCCTTAAGTCTTCAACACTCTCCTCTTCCTTCTTAGGAGAAAAACGACCTATTGTGAACAATGGTTCCTCCAATTCTTGATCAGAGCTTTCAGAGGGTCGCATAGAGGCTTTCGCACTCTTGAAATCCTCTGAATCACCCGATTCAGTTTCAGATTCAGACTCAGAACCTTCATCAGTGGGTGTGGGTTGTTGTGGTTGCTTTGACTATCCTCAGTCTCATCACCGTCATCAGGATAACATTGGAAAATTCCCACATTCTCCCCCACTTTGCATTGTACTCAACACTTCTCGTGAGCTTAATTGTCTTAGAGTCAGTCATCATTATTCTGTAAGACCCTTTCTGATAACCTAGAAAGATACCATGCAATCCACGCTTGTCTAACTTGGAGTTTTGTGGTGAGTGAACCCACATGTCAGAACCAAAAATCTTCATGTGTTTGATGTATGGCTTCTTGCCAAACATCTTCTCATAGAGGTACAACCAATCGCTGAAGATAACCTGCGATTGTAACTGTAAACAAAACACGAGAGAGATTCGGCCCAATAACTCTCTGGAAGATTGGCATCATGCAGCAAGGTTTTTAACCCTTGAAGCAAAGTCTGATTTGCCCGTTCCGCAAGTCCATTCTGCCATGGCGAGCGAGGACTAGACAAATCGTGTTGAATTCCTTTCTCAGTCAGAAAAGCTTCAAACTGCTGAGAAGTGAATTCCCCGCGATCACTGAAAAGAGTCTTTATCTTCTTACCATGCACATTTTCCAACCAAGCACAGAATTCCTTGAACCTAGGAAAAGCCTCCGATTTCTGCTTGAGATTGTACACAAAAATATATCTAGAAAATGCATCAATGAGAACCATGAAGTATCTATTTCCACCCAAAGAGGGCGCTAGTGGTCCAACCAAATCAGCATGAACAACCTGGTATGGTTCTGTAGCTGTCCTACTAGACACCTTACCTTTCGCAGCCATTTTCACCTTGTTTGCTGCGCATGCTTTGCACTTCATGTGGTACCTGCAGGGTTTAATAGTCATACCTTCAACCAAGGCAGGCATTTTAGATACTGCCTCAAAATGCAAATGACCAAATTTTCGATGAAAATCGTGAATACATTCTGCATGCAAACTTTTGTTAGAACCTGCAATGCAACAAGTGTCATCCTGCACCACATCATCATAATACAAAACAAACAAATGATCAACATATTCTGCATGCAATACATAATCATTTTTCTTTGTGATGATGCACTTCTTGTTCTTGAAGGAAACGTCAATGTTCCGCTCATTCAGCTGTCCAACGCTGAGCAGATTATGTTTGGCGTCTGGCACGTAAAGCACATTCTGTATCGATAAGTCCAAACTGTGAAGAACAACAGTTCCGTAGCCTTTACTGGGAATAGTGTGGTCATCCGCCTGGTGAATCGCACCTTCCTGCGGTGTAAAAGACACAAACAGTTTCTTATCGTTGCACATGTGGTGGGTGGCCGCTGAATCAACAACGAAGAAAGATCTAGACGTCTTCTGGACCTCTGCAACCTTTGGAGTGAAGCGTGAAACCATAGCCTTGTGCTGCGTTGTCCTAGACACCGGACCTTTGCCTTTGCCTCGGCCTTTTCCGCGCGATGAGCTTTCGCTGCGCTGCTCTGTCTTGGCCCTGGGATGTCTGCATTCCCTCTTCATATGGCCTAGACGTCCACACGAGTAGCATTCCACTGCCTTCATAGCTTTGGCGCCATCTGGTGGTTCCACTGCACTATGGGATGACGTCTGTGAAGACTCCCCCTTGCCCATGCAGCTAGCACCCCGGCGATCTGCTTCATTTAAAATCACGGCAGTAACAAAGTCCACTGTCAGCTGAGCAGTTGGTTGCACAGCAATCTGGGTTGCAACAGACTCCCAACCTGAACCCAAAGATTGTAGTATCATGAAAGAATACACAGCCTCTGGAAAGTTGAGTCCTCTCTGTTGCAGCTCATGTCTCAGATTTTGCATCTGCATCAGATGTAAACGCACATCTCCACCTTCAGCAAGAGCCATATTATGCAGCTTGTTAAAATAAAACATAGTGGATCCAGCTTCTGTCCTTAAGTGAGCCTCTCTCAGAGCGTCCCAAATTTCTCTGGCTGAGGTCTTATCACGCAATAGACAGAGCTCTTCTGGGGATACTATCAATGTAAGAGTTCCCCTTGCTTTGGAATCCTTAGCTTCCCATGCATCTGTAACTGGAACTGGGGGGGTTCCTGTAATCACCTCAAACAAACCCTCTTTCCGCAGAATTGCCTCTGCATACTGAACCCAGTCGGCGTAATTTTTCTTGTTGAGCTTAGGAATCCCACAAGCATCCTGAAGGGCCATCATGACTCTGGCATTAGCCTTCAGCGTCATATGCTGCTTTAAATCTTGCTGCGTCACTGCTGCAGCTGCCTCATTACAAAGGCACACTTAAAAGTTACTTTCGATTTCCCCAGCATAGTGACTTGTGCCTGGGAGCCTTTTGCCTATTCCCGGCAAAACCGGCTTTAAAAGTTCAAAGTCCAGCCATAAAGCCATTAACTTGAAGCTGGCAGGCTGCCCGGAGCAGTAGCACATACCTCATCAATCACTTCTACGCGCAGAGCAGATTCCTTTCCGATCCGTCCCTCTGCATTCCGATCCTTTGCCGGCACTCCGATTCGACCTCTGGAGTCCATAACCACGTGTTGATTTAAAGCAGAGTCTCTGGTGCCCAGCGGAAGGATGAGCAATACGTGCTACATACTCTATATTGCTTTATTTACAGTTCAAAGCTGGTATATTACAGAAAGACATCTTGCCTCTGCAAGAGCAGAAAAATGCATCCTCTCTCCTCAACAGCTCGGAGAGAATCACACAGTGAAAAACAGGAAACCAGTGTACGTCACATCCAGTCTCCCTTTCCCGTGAGAAACTCCAACAGTACAGACTGTGGAATGTAAACACCTGTCTTGTGACTGCAGTTGCTGCACAGTGAAGGAAAGCAGAAACCAACACCCTTCACATGTAGGCCCCCATTGCTAAGTGTAATTGTTAAGCCTTCCCCTTGCAGAAGTTGCCTTCCCTTAATATAGAAGATTAGGAAGCCAGCATCAGGGCTCTGTGGACATCTATTTTAAGGATCATTCTCTATTTGCATGTTTTCCTGTGTGGATGAGCATCCATTCTAATCTAATCTACCATTCAGTGTGTGTGTACGCACATGCACACACATGAATGGCCAATGAGTGCATATAACTGTACATTGACTGAAAGAAAAATATTCAAAATATTAGCCAATTCATTGACGTGCCTATTTACTTGTCATGGCTGTGGTACTGAGAGTCAGGGAAGGCTGCAAGGTGCCCTGCACTCATGTCAGGTGCTTTTTTTATTCTGACACAACTAAATACGATAGCTATAGTTATGTTTGACAAAGTGGAAAATGGGAAATGAAAAATCACCTATTAACTTGGTTCATAACAAAATTGCTTCAGAAGGATAATGCTTTCGTGACTAAATTTGGTACCAACTCACTAAGCAGCGACACTTAAGTCTCAGTGTCTTTGTCAAGTGAAACCACAAAAGGCAGGAAATGGGGTGTCAGATTCAAAGATTATTCTCCATGACTGATTTCAGAAAGAGAGAAAATTACTTTCAAGTCTTGCCCTGAAAAAAACCCATAATTCGGAAGCCCTTCTTGCTAATTCTAAAAGTATGGTGAATAGGTCAGTGGTGAGGAAAAGATTATGAGCACAGCCTGCATATGATTAATGTGCAATATATTGAGAAATATGCCCAGTTCCCAGTGGTGGCCCCTCCTCAGCCAACTGCCACCATGGGGGCTTCTGAAAAACCATGAGGCCCTGAGAAGCAGAGACAACTTCTTCAAGACAATAAGGTGTGGGTGTGGGTGTATTACAGTGCTTTGTTTCTTTAAAAAATGTTTAGGGGTACTCTCATTTTGACTCAAGAAAATCACCATTTTATCGTTCAAATTGGGGAAAATAAATACAGTAAATGGACAAAAGTACAAAGATTCACAAAATGTTTAGGGGTATGCGTACCTTTGCACTCTCTCTCTCTCTCTCTATATATATATAACAATCAGACTTTGAAAAGCTGAATCAAGCCCATCAGTTTTGTTGAATTCATTAAACCAAATAGTTTTAACTGGATTTTGCACAGATGTGCAATTAATTGTTACTGTTTTGAACTTCATTGTGATATCATCTTCCTCAGTGGGTCATGCAAACCCCTGTTCTGAATAATGCTTTTTATAGGGTTGGGGGCACTGGGGGTGAGTTTATGGAGCCAAGTGGGTTCTGGCCAGAAAAAGTTTGTGAACTGCTGATTTAGACCAACGCGGAACTTAGTTCTGTGGCTCTGCACAGCTTCTACATGTAATCTAGTGCCCTGCTGCTTTGTCTGTGCTTGCATCCCCACAAAGCAGCCCCCTTTCCTAGGAATTGTCTTCCTTTACACTTCCAAACACACTATTAAGAACACATGTGTTTTTCCTTCTGAACCGTCTGCCAATCGTGTGACAAGAGAATAGGCAGCATTTCCTATGCCATGGGAAGGACAAGCAGACTCTCTGCAAGGTTGGCTGTGGAAGTCCAAATCCAGCTGTCTCCCTGCTCAACAGCATGCTTAGGATAATAGTCAATCCAACCCTTTATGTAAGTAATAACTATTGACCACTGTTATGCTTTGATTCATAGAAAAAAATCCCTCTCACTCCGGGGGATTTTCAGCTGTGTGCTTGAGATTTAGTCCTGAAAGTACTTGTGCTGCTTCAGTTGTAGACTTTAATTTCTTTGAGAACCATTTATACATTCAAGTTGACAGTAACACTAATCCTCCATTATCTATTTGATTATCTTCTGCAGAGACTTGCTGTTAACTGCGGGTGACCAAAGCTTCTCAAAATGAAACATTATTGGCTGCTCCTAAGTGTCAAGGAGTCTTAATTTTTTCCCCCTTACTAGATGGGTTTCTCATTCATGCAACCAAGTAATTAAGGGTATTAGAGTCAAAATTGCTTGTAACAGGCCTATTCATCCCCGTTTTCACTTGCGCAATCCAATCTTGATTTCTCATCCCCCCACTTTGAACATTTACAAGGCCAGACAAGTGCATTATCTCTGCATCATATTCATTATCAGACTTGACTGGAACAGGTAGCAACATACTGATGTGCATTTAATGAAACTCACATTTGAATGCATATTTCCAAAGCGAGGAAGTGATTTCTTTTCTAATGCTGTCAAGCCAAGTCAGGCGACAATAGTTTCGGGGATGTGCTACGAAGTCCCAACTGGCATTTTGCTTTCATGTCTCAAAAAAGCATGTTGTTGTTTTTCTTTTTCTTTTCTTTTTTTCCTTCTTCGCTGATGTCTGCAGTGAGTGAGTCTACTGGTACACTAATTTCCCCCTTCTCCCTCTGTTCCTCTGTGTGTTTGTGTGTGTGTAGCCTCTGTCTAACAGTGTGAAGATGATTAAACTGAATCACCGAGAATAACCACAAGTGGCACAGTGGGAAAACTAGCACGTACAAGAGTGTATCACTCATACAATCCCTCTTGTCCTAGTCTTCTGTAAACAGCCATGAGGCAAGTTCATGAAGGCAAATTCACAGGCTCAAATGTGAGCTTCTAAATTTAGTACAGTGCAGAATTTCTTAACTCTCCCAGGATAATTAGATGTGGATCACAGGCTGCAATGGTAGGTGACTTGGTTGCTTCAACCCTTACTTGCTAGTAAATATTATTAAAGTTTTTTAAAAAATAATAATACAGTGGATCCTTTAAATTATATGCCTTTTTATTAAACTATAATTACATCTAAATCACAGAAGGTGAACCCATCACACCCCAGGTGTTGATGCATTTTACACACACACAGAGAGAGAGAGAGAGAGAGAGAGTTAGCATGGCAAATATCAGGGATGATCAGAGCTGGAAATGAGCAACATCAGGAGGGCTGCATGTTCCCTCATTCCTGATCCTGATAAATAGATAAATAAAGCAAAAGTAAGAAAGGGGGATAAAGGGAAGAGAAGGGAAGAGTTATTTTTGAGTATTGCTAAATGCATTCATAAAGTTCGTAAAAATGAAACCTAGAAGCTTGCTGAGTAAGTTACCAGCATGAATGCACCTTGCAATAAACAGAAATGCTTTTTTAAAAAATTACAACTTTATGTGACCTCTGATTATTTGGGGTCCTGATCATGGTGTGGTTAAAAACGTTTGCCCACAATTTTGTTCATGAGGAATACCCAAACAATGTAACCCAGGCAGTGTAAATGATCGTTTCAGATAATACAAATGGCAGGTAGGCTTTACTCATTTTTCCTATTCTCAATTCCCCTTCTAAACAGGCATAGAATTAAAGGTGAGTAAGACAAGGGTTATACTGCAATCTGCGCTCTGAAAGTACTGCATATAGGTGTCTTTGAAAATCACAGCCCTCTTTATAGGAATGAAATGAACCTCATGGCATGGCCTCTCTTTTCAGGAGAGTAACTGATCTACTAATAAATGTCAATCATCTTTCATTTCATCAACCGATACATAGCCAGGCCAGTCTTATTATTTGCAGGCAAAAGGATGAAAATAGAACTAATGAGCTTCATCCACAGAGACCCTTAGCAATGGTGTGTCAAAGATGGCAGCAAGAGAGCCAAAGGCTTTCCATTAAGTTCTGTCCTCTTTGGCCATGGAGCTCTTTGCTTTAGCAATCAGAATTTTAATCTTAATATCGATGTGAGGCTATGTCACCAGCACTGATGCCATGAGCTATACGTTTCCCCAAATTCAGACAGAATATATTACATTGAAAGGTGTTTTGTTTTTGTTTGTTTTTTAAAAAAAGGTAAAGAACCCCTGGATGGTTAAGTCCAGTCAAAGACGACTATGGGGTTGCGACGCTCATCTCACTTTCAGGCTAAGGGAGCCGGCGTTTGTCCAAAGACAGCTTTTTGGGTCATGTGGCCAGCATGACTAAACCGCTTCTGATGCAATGGAAGACTGTGACAGAAACCAGAGCACACAGAAAGGCTGTTTACATTCCCACCACAGTGGTACCTATTTAGCTACTTGCACTGGCGTGCTTTCAAACTGCTAGGTTGGCAGGAGCTGGGACAGAGCAACAGGAGCTCACCCCACTTTAAGGATTCGAACCGCCAACCTTCTGATCGGCAAGCCCAAGAGGCTCTGTGGTTTAGACCACAGCGTCACCCGCGATGTAAAAGATATATTACAGATATATTATATCTATAATAGTTGTATAATACTACATCTAGATTACATCTATCTAGCTTTCCTTCTATGCTCTCCCACAGCCCACACTACACTGTGAGCAATCAGCAATTAATTGGTCAAACCAAGAAGAGAATCATGAGGAATATGTTGGAAGGGGAAGTTTTTAAGCAGAGGTTGAATTGGCATCTGTCATGGATGCCATAGTTGTGATTCCTGCATTGCAAGGGAGATGGACTAGATGAGTCTCAGGGTCACTTCCAACTCTACAATCGTATGATTCTGTGTTGTGCAGAGTTACTAGAGATAAATAAGAACCTTTTCTCTCTTTTTTTGGTAACAAAAGCAGTCAAATGCAAAAGCAGTTGCACAGTGCTCTTGCTTTGCTCCTACCAGTCATCGTCTACTGATCAGTTCAACCCCCCTTGTGTACCATGAAATCACAGCTCTTGGAAAAGGCACAATCCCACAGTCAGCAACAGACGCAGGCAGGTGTGTTGGGAAACGGTGGGCTGATTTATCCCCACAGGTGACAAGTGTGATATAATGAGGTACTGGAAGGGAGCAAAGCTAAGCTCTGAGCTGCAGGCTGACTCATTCCAGGAGGTCTGTTGCCAATACTAGAGTTTTTCCTTGAATATTAAAAACATCCTTTTGGCTCAAAGGGATAAGGCTTAAATTGTAAGTGCAATTTAGGAGAGGGTCTTCTGTCAGACGGTGTAAAGCCCCAGGCTGTCTCAAAACACGAACACATC